GTTCAGAATACAAATTTTGAACTTCAATAATATTATTGCGAGCTTTTTGCAATTAACCCCTTAATGCCTCAATTTTATTCTTTTGGTTTTCTATATACTGTTGCATTCATTCGACTTGGTCATTAAGAGTCGTTATTACTTGCAATTTTTGCTGATTTTCTACTTGTGCAGATTCTAAAAGCCATTTAGTTTAATTGAGTTCAACTGTCAACGTGAATGTCTAAACTATTCCCACCAAGTTGATTTTCTTGAGCAGAATCTATAATATACTGATAAAACTGATTAGTATTAATTACTTGATTGTAATGTATTTGACAAATTGAATAATTTGTTAAAGAAGAATGGTGATTAGCAAGTTCAGGAATAAAATCATGATATTTTAAAAAGTTCTTAGCTACATTCGTACTATCAGCATGTCGCCATGTTTGTAATTCACTGGTTTTGCAAGATCTTAAATGAAATACTTTATAATGCTCAATAAGATCAGAGAAACTGCACTTGAGAGTATGGCTTTAGGTGTTTGGTAAGTAGATACTAAGAAAAAAAAGCAACCATTTTAATTAGTGAAATTCTGTTCTTTCTTGTGTATTACTACACACGAATGCGTAATTTGAGGTCTTATTTACTTTGGCTAATAAAGTGAAACTTGACTGATTAACTTTGATTATCGAAACTGGAGATCGAATATTATATGTTTGAAGACTTTTTAGTATTAAGCAATTACTTTAAAAAGTCATGTTAAAATGATGCAAAAAAAGTAAGTATACACTAATAAAATGTAGGATTTTGCGTAGATCTTTCCAGAACCCCAATTTCTAATTTGAGAAATCTCCAAACTGTAGTATGATGTATAAGTTGTACAAAACCTGAGTGAAGCAGCCAGATTAATCTAATAGATCAAGTATACAGAAGCCTGCTTGGCAAGTTCTGAGTAGAGAGGTAACACAGATCTTCAACGGTACTATGTAAAGAATGATTATCAGCAATCGAATACCAACAGTAAAACTGAATGAAGACCGGATATTTGGCAAGACACTAATACCAACCAGGCCATGAGTATACAGGGACAAGCCTTATATAAACGAGAAAAAAAAATTCAACCAGAATACCAAGGGGATGCCCACTGGTCTCTCTTTAGACCATCTGGATTAGGAGTTTGGGCACTGTAGTGAAGGAAAGTTGGTGATAGTCTGTAAAGTGTGTGCTAGGATTTGGATAAACTCTGCAAGGGCAGAAGTAGGTAATAGTAGTGGCTTCAGCTTGCAAGTACTTGTCCTTGAACTCAGTATAAGTTACCGAAGTTTAGGTTAGCTGGATTGTGGGTATGAAAAGCTCTAGCTAACAATGTCTCGAGGATAAATTAATCCTAAAGGTATCAGAAAAAGCATCTGAAACTTCTTACGACAGGTAATTGTAACAAAAATGTACTAATAATACAAGCTAGGTCTGTATATAAATGTACTGGAGTTTTATAAGTGAGCTCCTTACCTATAAACTTAAATAAAAACTATAATCCCAAAGAGGCTAGTTAAAAAAAAAATAAAAAAAATAAACATATATTTTTTTTTTACCTTTTATAACTAACCTCTTTGGGGCTAGGGTTTTTATTCAAGTATTCAAATTAAGGGCTCGTGGTCAAAGCCTCAAAGGAACCCTATTACATTAGAGAATACATTTTAGTCATATCTACACCTTTTGAGCGTCTAATTAAGTAGTTCCTTATTGTTAAGTCTTATACTAGATGCCATACCTGTAATCCACTATTACTTAAATTACCTAATTAAACTCTCTGTAATGCAACTTGTATCTGTATCACTATTACATCTTTACTATGTATATCAGCTGAGAAGTCCTATATTTTTGACTCATTCCTTTAAGACTACTTTATCTTTAAGACATCATTGCTAGAGCTTTCCATACTTACAATCTGGCTAACCTAGATTCAGTAACTTACACCAAGTCTAAAGACAAGTACTTGTGAGCCGAGGCTGCTACCGTTACCTACTTTCACCTTATAGAGTTTACCTAAACCCCAGCATCCACTATATGAACTACCAACTATACTTTCGGCTTTCTCTAAACTTCCAATCCAGATGGTCTGGAAGGGCGGACCCCTTCCTCTAGCTGACCTGGCAGCCTGGTTGGTGTGATGCTTGCCAAACATCTTGGTCCTGTTCGGGTTTTCTTTTTTCCAAATGATTTTCCTTTACGTAATACCATCAAAAGTCTGTGCTATCTCTTTACTCGGGTCTTGCCAAGCGGGCTTCTGTATACTCCACACCCTTGGATTTATCTGACTGCTTCACTCAAAATTTGTGTAACTCATTTGTCACACTAATGTTTCACAGCCTTCCAATATGAGCTGATATAATCAAAACTACAAATCCGTTGATCTGTGTAGTTGTGCACAGTATACCGTAATGCATTCTATAAAATTTGAATTTCATCGCCAGTGGAATTCAAACTCTTGTCCTGCCGCTTGGGGTGTAACAACTTACCAACTTCACCAAGTCACCACACCCTAAATAAACATATTTTACCTAGAAAATAATATAGATTATCTTAATAAAATTTTGAGTAATTTAAACTTATTTAATTGTTCAAAATTGTCCAAAGTGTTCAACATGCCTTCATAAAGCATGCCCCAAAAATTTGCCATACCCCCAACCCTACTCTCACCCTATATATATAATTTACCAATTATCAAATTGGCCAATTAGAATTAAACCTACTATTGCTAATTACAATAATATATGTGATACATATATCTATAGGGGGCACGGCATGCCCTTCGCAAAGGTATGCCACAAAAATTTGCCGTGCCCCAACCCTACTCAGCATGGAGAACAATTTTTGTTAGAGTACAAAGAAAGGTTTACTCAGTACCAGATCCAGTTCCGGTGCACGTTTTACTTTTTTATTTTTTTATAAGGGGATGGTCGAATATCGGCTGAGGGATCTGTAGAAGAGATTTTAGCTACGGGACTGTTGGACGATGTGACTTTTGAAAGTGAAGAATTAAAGACCTCTGTTGAGGATGTTATAGTAATTCCCACTAGAAAGTTCCAGCGAGCAACAGTGATTTCTGTTATAGACCGATCCTTCGGATTTTCAATAGTTTCTATTTTATTACTTAGTCATATTTAAGATATCAGTTACATATGATGAAAGTCTACAGCCCATCAAAACGACTTTCTGTCATACTTCTTCTTTACCAACTCGCATCACATTTAGTCATTTAGATCATTCGTGTACAAAAAACACTTTATTGACTTAATACCTAATAAAAAAGGTTATCAGACTCTATTGCTTTAATTAATAAATTAATCGATACTAATACCGAGATAACATGGGCGATCAAAAGTAGAAACAACCCAATTTGAAATTTTAAAAAAATTTTTAACTAAACTTTAATAGCTCATATCTCGACAATCATTTGATCAAATTTAATAATTTTTTTTTAAATCAAAATTTTACAGATTTTTAAAATTCAAATAAAAAAATTTCATCAAATTTGATCAAGTGGTTGTCGAGATATGAGCTTTAAAAGTTTAGTTAAAATTTTTTTTA